AGTAACAGCGTAATTTTGTACTAATTGGTGTTGAACTGCCAATCACCTGGGGGAATGCAAATAGATACTCTTACAGGTTCCTTTGAGGTAGGGGAGTCTTGTGTCGAGGCTGGAAGGAAAACAGAATAATACCGTTAAATTGACCTTAAATGAGCTGCCTTGTGGTTGTCTTGGAGAATCCCTTTTTATTTTTCCTGACTAGCCCAAACAGGCTTTGTCTACCAGTTTGACTTATGGACTAGACAGTGCTGACGGTGAACGTTCAGAAGCGTTTTGAAATAAAGTGGTGATGATATAATTCTGCAGATATCGTGGTGATTTCGTTGGTGCAACTTACGTGTGTGTGACATTCCAGGGTTTGTTTGCAGTTGTCATGGTTCCTCCCAGCAGCCATCATGTCCTCTGGTCACTTACAGTGGAGCATTCTGCCCAGACAAAAGGTGGCTGTTCTCACGGGGATGGCGATGTGTACAGTAAAGGGCGGGGGTGGCTTTGAAATCTGTTATTCCAGATGAAGCTAGTCATTTCATGAAAGCACCATTTTTCTGAGGATGGTTAGAATGTCTTCTTGATCTTTGTGTGCAAATCAGTATTTATTAACTGCCTACTGTGTACCTCGTATGTGTTACCCTAAAAAACTACAGCATTTCAGAATACCACTTTCATTATTTTACTTGGAAAAATAGCACACTGGTTGGTCTAGGTATTTGTATTGAGGTTTGTAGACACCATGCCCGCCAAATAGTGTCTCGCTTCTTAATTTTAAAGTGGCAGCAGCAGCCCAGTCTGTTCTGACAGCTGCCTCCTTTCAGAATTCGGGATGCTCGTTGGATGATTTTTGTAGTCCTGGGCTGGTTGCTGGAATAGCACTTCTGTACAGGCAGAGGGAATGGGATGTATTTGGAATTGTATTGGTAATTAATCACATATAGAAGTTAAATGAGCATCACCCTATAAAAAGTAAAATGTACTTATCTCTAAGACTATTCAAAGACACTTGAAAATGGTACACTGCTCTGCCCCCTTCCTGTAGATCTCCTGTTAAATGGAAATATCCATTAACTTTGTAACTTAATTCCTTCCCTTTTTGCTTTGGCTACCAGAAACTCTGAATTTCGTAGTTAAAATTGAGTAGTTTTGGGACATACTACTTGAATATCTCTGTACTCTCTTCATCCCCATTCTCTTATAATTGTATACTGAGAGTAAAATGATTAAACTCATGAGTTCTGGGGACACTGTGTATCATCCAGGGCATTGGAGACCTCAGTGCCCCGAGCGAGAGGGTGTTGGGTCTGTCTCCAGTGAGGGATGGAGGGACAGTTCTCATCTCCTAGGAACCGAGGCAGGACTGAGGGCTCAGGAAAGAGGCCCCTGAGTCTCCTAGTGCACGCCCACCCCATGCCTATGTGGGGGGCAGGGGAGAAAGGAGTGCTGCTTGCACCCCCAGAGACCCCATAGTACTCTAGGCTCCTTCCTCCTGAGTCCTGCTTCTGTCTGTCCATCCCGTCCCCAAGGACAGACATTGTGGGGCCTCCCGGCAGTTTCCTTGAGGCCTGTCTGACCTGATGAGGTGTGCAGGGTACAGGCAGCGGGAAAGACAAACGACCTCTCCCCAGGCTGGTCTGTCTCCATGGGCCCCTTTTCTGTCCTAAGCAGTCAGTCCATTGCAGTGGCTTATGACAGTGACTGCTAACGGATAGAAGCTCACCCTCAAAGTATGTATCTTTACTCTCTCTCTTTCCTTCTCGTTTCTTATATGTAAGTAAGGCAGGTAAAAGCAAGAAGAAAGGGGAACTTAAAGTCCACAAAACAATTTAAGTTGGAAAGCATTAAATCAAAGAGGGTCATTATGTGCTAACAAAAGGAGTGATGCATAAGGAAGCTGTAACAGTCCTATAGGAACCAAAAACACACACGCAGAAAAACTTAGACAAATACAAACACATAATAAAAATCCAAAACTGGGAGGGAGCCTCTCCCAAGGACAGCTGTCGCAGGGACTTCAGTTGTTCTGTGCCAGAGCTCAGCAGATACGAGAGAAAGAATATGGAGCTAGATAGACCTTCAGAGAAACCAGCAGGAAACACGACCAGGGAGAGCCCAGGTGTTGGATAAACACGAAAAGGTGACTGACCACCTTTAGGGAAATGCAAGTTAAAGTAACCATAAGGAAGCGTGGTGACAAATCAGATGGGCAAAACTTCAAGAGTTATAACATCCAGGCCAGGGAAGAGTATGGAAAATAGGTACTTTCAAAAGCTCTTGGTAGAAATGTAAATTATTGTGACAATATAGGCTATTATAATAAACTAGAGGCCCAGTATACGAAATTCGTGCATGGGTGGGGTCCCTCTGCCTGGCCAGAGGTTGGGGGTTGGGGCCGATCAGTACTGTCTCACCCAGTCCTGATTGGGGCCGATCGGGGCCGGTGGCTGGGGAGGGACTGTAGAGGGACCGCAGGAGGGCTCCAGGCCGTGTCTGGCCCCATCTCGCCCAGTCCCGATCTGCTGGACCCCAGCAGCAAGCTAACCTACCAGTTGGAGCATCTGCCCCCTGGTGGTCAGTGCACGTCATAGCTACCAGTCGGTGGACCGCTGGGTCGGACACTTAGCATATTAGGCTTTTATATATATAGATTGTAACTCACAGCGTGGAATGCTCAGCACGCACTTTCCCTCCAGTCCCTGGTCTTAGAGACCTCATGTCCTTCCAAGGCTCTGCTCAGCCTCTTCAGCTGTCACATGAAGTAAGTTGCATCATGTGTGTGGAAACCCTTTGCAGGCTCCATGGGTGTGTCTTTACTTCTCTTCAGTTCCGATTACCCAACATAAGGAGACACCCTCATTATCAGATAACACCATCGTGGTAAGACCCTTGCTCAGCCTACTGCAGCAGTTTTAAATAGGTCATGGGTCACCCTAGATGGTTTGGCTCAGTGGATAGAGCCACGGCCTGCAGACTGAAGGGTCCTGGGTTCGATTCCGGTCAAGGGCACATTCCTGGGTTGTGGGCTCAATCCCCAAAATCAATAAAAATATATTAATACAAATAAATAGGCCATGAATCAAATGTCACTGCTCTCCATCCATCCAGTCCCCTCACACTCTCTTTTGTCTTCGTCCCCCACCCCCTCACACGCTCTGCTTGGGTCTGTAAAATGGGGTCAGGATTTCTGCTTCAACCAAGGGTGACATTTCCACACGGCCCTCCTTCCCCGCCCATCTCTGTCCCCAGTCCTGTGGGGTCTCTCCTTCCCTCCCCTCCATCTAACTTGGTGGGCCCTGCTCTGCCCCCTCCTCCTTCAACCTCCTTTCTGCAGCCTCCCCCTTTCTCCTCTGGGGGCAGAGCTCCCCAAAGGCAGTGCGGGGCAGGGCTGTGTGGGGCGGGGCTGTGTGCAGAATTGTGCGGGGCTAGCCCAGGCGGGACCTTGGAGGAGAGCTGGGGTGACGGGTCACAGGGAGGAGGAGGGAGGGATGTGGAGCCTGTCCTGTGGGAGAGGCACCGGGCTCCTCGGCTACCCTCACCCAGCAGCTTTTTTAGGCTCCTTTGCAGCTGTCACCCTCCCCCCTCACTGCCTCCCACTTCCTTTCAAGTTTTGGACTCGGTTTCTCCGACTCAGCCCCGCCCCCCTCCCTGCTGAGTCCCCAGGAGCCCGAGGCTGCCCCTTCGCCTCGGGCAGGTGCACCTGGCCTGTCCCCTCCCCGCGCCCCCCCAATGGTGCTACCCACTCTCTTGCAGTAGTTAGTGAAACTTAATAAAAAGAAGCAGCTCTGAAGATTATAAATTGCATACTGAGAATGCCACAGGCTGCGAAGGGCTGTGCAGTCCACAGCTCTCGGATCAGGCCTCTCAGATCATGTGTAGCAGCCTCCCGCGCCAACCAGCCCCTCCTGGCTCCTGCCAGCCTCTGCCCTGGGCTCAGGCCAAACCCTGGGAGCTTCCTGATGGCTCTCACCTCACACCTCACTTTCCAATCCAGCCCACCAGCGCCCGCAGCAAGCTAGCCTATTGGTTGGAGCATCTGCCCACTGGTGGTCAGTGCGCATCATAGCGACTGGTCGAGGGGTCGAACTCCCAGCGAAACTCTGGTCGAGGGGACAATTTGCATATTAGGCTTTTATTATATAGGATTATAATATTTGGGGGGAAGTAACCTTTAACACGTTAAACGCCCAGTCAGTCACCGGTGACTGACACTATACTTTTTGTCCGGAAGACAAAACAGGCTGGCGCTTAACGTGTTAAATATCTCCTATATGTCAGTGCTCACACCCTTTGACTCAGCAGAGTGTGTTTTGGGAATCTGCGCTACAGAAATAACAGACCAGAATGACCCGGGTGTGCCTGTAGACGTGTGTACTGCAGCATTGTTTGTATGCATCCCATCGGAGGAACTTGACTGTTCATAAGTGGAATAATCTTGAATAAAGCTGAAGGATGTCCACACTCTGGAATATTACGTGTTCAGCTGTTAAGGACTTGTCACTCTCAATGTGGACGCATCATTGACTAGGAAAGCAAGTGGAAAAATAATGCATCTGATTCAACCCATTCTTATAAACCCCATGCAAGATAAATGTGAATGTGTGAATACGCACCTGAATATGAAGAAAGGCGTGGACGCATCAGCCACACGGTCAACTGTTGTCACTATAGGAAGGTGGGATGGAGAAGAGATCTTGATTTTCTTTGACTTTATAATAAGCACATGATACTTTTATAATTAATAAAAATTAATAATAGATCCATTAAGAATTTTACCAAAGTAATACATTTTCTAGGAAACATGTAGTGTTTCATCAATAAGAATTTGGACGTTTTAAGTGGTTAAAAAATGGATGTACTTTTCTGTGAATCACAGCAGCATTTGTTTTCATTCTCTATAATCAGCATTTGCAATGTGTTATTTTTATATTTTAATGGAATGTGAGGGCCACCTGTTCTATACTCCTAGGTGTTCTGTTGTTTTACTTCTAAACTATGTTTGCTTTCCACAGGACTGTCTTCATCAGTGGACTACAATGTAATGGAGCTGGAACAAGAACTTGAAAATGTAAAGATTTTTAAGACAAAATTAGGTACATTTTCCCCCTTGACTTGATTTCTTATTAAAGTCTTTCCTGTAGTCTGAAATATTAAAAAAACGCATTAAATCTTTAGTTTATGTTACAAGCTTTTAATCTGTCCAAGCCATTTGGGGAGAGGATAAGCATGCATCGACTCACTTTTTGTTTTGTTTTTTCATGTTTACAAAATGAATTTTCAAAACAAACTGATGTTTAAAGGTGTCATTCTATTGTCTTTTCACTTGCATTATTCCTGACAAGTAATCATCTGTCATCTTTATCTTTTATTGTGTCTTTATCTTCTTTTCAGATCTCCTCTTTATCATTGATTTAGAACAATTTTATTGTGATGTGCCTTTGAGTAATTTTATTTATGTTTCTTATCCTTTGGGTTCATTGATTTTTTTTGACCTGGGAAATTGTAATTGTCATCTCATGTGGAAACTTTTTGCCATTACTTTTCCAAGTATTTTTTTCTTCTTCTATCTGTGCCTCCCTTTCCAAGGACTCCAATTTCATGTACAATAGCTCTTACAAAGTTGCCCCATAACTCAAGGATGTTCCCTTACTTTTCATGTGGTTTGTTTTTCCTCTGTGTGTTTCATTTCAGATAGTTTGTATTGCTATGTCTTCATGTTTACTAATTTTTTTCCTCTGAGTGTTAATCTGCCTTTAATCCCACCTATTGTATTTATTTCTCAGACACTGCAATTTTTATCTCTTAAAGTTCTGTTTAGGCCTGTTTTATATCTTCCATATGTCTAATTAGCATCTTTAATTTGATACCCACCTTTTTGAAAATATGGAATACAGTTTTAATAACACTTGTAATGTTTTTGTCTGCTAATTCTAACATCTATGTTTATTCTAGAAGAGTTTCAATTGATTGACTTACTGTATTTTTGTGCCTATTTGCATGCATGGCAACTTTCGGTACTAGCTACTGTGCATCTTACATTGTTCAGTGCTAATGTTTTTGTATTCCTGTAAGTGAGGAACTTTGTTTTGGGATGCAGTGAAGTTACTTATAAACAGTTTGATATTATCAGGTCTTGCCTTGAAGACTTGTTAGGCTGGGCCAGAATGACATTTCGTCTAGGGCAGCGGTTCTCAACCTGTGGGTCGCGACCCCTTTGGTGGTCGAACAACCCTTTCACAGGGGTCGCCTAAGACCATCCTGCATATCAGATATTTACATTACGATTCATAACAGTAGCATTACAGTTATGTGGTTTTATCAATTCCCACCCTCCCTTTAAGGCAGCGGTTCTCAACCTGTGGGTCACGACTCGCCTAAGACCATCCTGCATATCAGATATTTACATTACGATTCATAACAGTAGCAAAATTACAGTTATGAAGTAGCAACGAAAATAATTTTATGGTTGGGGGTCACAGCATGAGGAACTGTTTTAAAGGGCCAGAAGGTTGCGAACCACTGGTCTAGGGCTACTAGTAGTAGTTCCCTGCTACTGACGCAAGACCCTTCTAAGCATTCTACCCAGTGTCCCAGTATCTTGAGGGAGCAGCATGGTTCTTGACCCTTTGTGATTGTTGGATGCTGTTCCTTTTACTCATTTTGGGGTGGTGCTTTCATCAGCCGTGGGTGCTTTCTTCACATACCAGAGCTGATCATTACCCTACTCCAGTCCTCGGGGTTTTCTCTGTGCAATAGTCTCCTCTCTGGCACTTGCTCTGCAAAATCCTGCTGACTTGGTCTCTCCAGACCCCATTGTATGTCCTCAACTCAGGGATTGAACTGGGCTCTGCTTGGGTTCCTCCTCCCTGCACCAGGGCCCGCCTGGGAGCTCTCCCTAGACAGTGAGCTGGGGCAGACACAGGGCTTGAGGGTTTGTTCCCCATCTTTCAGAGGCCATTGCCCTTCAGTGATCAGATGTCCCAGGCTTGAAAACTGTTGTTTCATATACATGTATTTTTTGGTCTTTAAATTGTTTCAGGCTGGACAGTAACTCTGGTCCCCAAGACAGTTGTTACTCTGTCTTCAGAAGGGCAAGTCAAATATTATGTTGTTGAAAATTATATATGCAGTTCAATCATTTTCATTTCATAAACATCATTACATTGCTGCAGGTTACTTTCTTCATCCTGCTGTTGATGGATGTTTGAAATGTTTCCAGTCTTGTGCTAATGTGAATGCTATTGGTATAGACATTCTTCTACATATCTCTTGGTACAAGTGAAATTATAGGATCACTGGGTGTTTCTGCACAACGTTTTCAGATAACCCCAAACCTTCCCAGGTAGTTGTGTTACTTTGTATTCCTGTGAGGTACCAGTAAGGCTCCCTGCTGCCCCCCATCCTTGCCTACAGTCCACGGTGCTGGACTTCTCCATTTGTTCCCGTTCAGGGCATCTGATTTGGTGTTCAGTTTGCATGACCCTGATTTGCGTTTCCAGTGTTCATTTAGCTTCTGCTTGAAAAACATTTGTAAGTATTTCATTTAGTGCTGGTTTGCTGGCAACAAATTCTCTCAGTTTTTATCTGAAAACATTTTTACTTTGCTTTCTTGTTTGTGGGGCATTTACATGGAATTTGAACTCTTATCGGGTAATTTTCATCATTGTAAAGATGCCATCCAGAGTCGTCTCAGTGCCCTTGGGTAGGGCTGCTAGATTTCCTTTTGTCTTTGTCTTTCTACTGATCTTCCTTCACTTCTTTTCAGCTGTTGTAACTGTTGTCAAAATGATCACACTCTTATCTTTAATTACAATATTTTTCAGTTCTAGAAATTCCATTTGATTATTTTTCTAGATTCAATTTGTGACATTTGCCATCTCATCATTTGTCTTAGTGAGCATGTTACTCAGTTACTTTAAGGCCACTTCCTGATGAGCCCACTATCTGGATCAGCTGAAAGTGTTTCTGTTCTTTTTTCCTTTGTTCTGCCTTCTGGTAATATTTGAATAAACGCTAGACACTTTTTATGTGTCACTGTAGAAACATGGTGATAGTCTCTTCTTTTTGAAAGGACTTCCTTTAGCTTCTGGCAGGCAGTTAGAGTAGGGACAGATCCCTTTAATCTGAGATAGTTGGAGACTGGGTTTTGGCCTTTACTAGGGGGTCTATTTCCAGTTTGGTATTGCTCCTAGAGTATAGCTTCTCCTTGGTCCTGAAAGCCTGGTTGTTTTGTTGTTGACTGTCATGCTGTCTTCTTCATGAACCTTGAACTCTAGTTTTACCTTTCAAGAAACATAAGCCCGATGGAGCTCAGCTTGGCTTCTCTACCCTGAGCTGCACCCTCTGTCCCCCTCCTCAGCGCTGAGCTTTGCAGGGGCAGTGGCTGCATCTGGCTCTCCTTCCTCTCTCCTCTTCTCTGTCATCCTAGCCTCTCAAGTGCTGACGGCCTCAGTCGCCCCAAACTTCAATTTTTGTCTCCTTGGCTCTGCTGAGCTTGCTGAAAGCTTTGCTTTAGGAAAGTGGGTTTTCTTTCACCCACTGATTTCTGCTTATTTCTCAGCCTTGTGGGTCCATGCAGTTACATCTGGAAAATGTGGGGGAAGGAGTGTGCCTTCATTTCACAGACACTGGCCCCTCAGTGTTGATTGTCATGGTGATTCTGACACAATAAAGTGAGTTTGATCCACCTTCTCCAGGTGTTTATGGCCTGGGACAGTGTGACGTGAGGGAGCCCCTTGCAGCCCAAAGTGGAAGTTTGCTCTCAGCCTGTAGCAACGGGAGTGATGTCTTCGGGATGTGAGAGTAGAGGGGATTTTTACTCCTGTTACTTTAGTCATTCAAATCTGTATCAATATGTAAACCCATGTCAAATACAAATATCTCTATATTTTCAGAGTAAGCTATAAATTAACATTTTATTTCATTAGCAATTGAAATGTCTTTAAAGAGCTAAAATTTAAGCATCACAGGACTAAGTTGTTTAATGTAGCAAACTAACTCTAAATCTCTGATTTTTATGACTTGTGGAGGAAAATGTAAAATAATTTGTGTTTTTTAAAAATTATATAAAAATAATGCATTCTGGTTATAGTAGTAAGGAATAAAAATGGGAATGTGGAGAGGATTTTGGGCCATTTCTGAAATCTTCTGTTGTGTTGTTTCTCCTACTAGAGAGGCGGAAGAAGGCGTCGGCTTGGGAAAGAAATTTGGTGTATCCTGCGGTCATGGTTCTCCTTCTCATTGAGACGGTAGGAATTGATTTGCCTGGTTGCATAAAGCAAATTATTTGATATTTACTTTACTGTTTGAATGTGGCAATTCCCTCAGCGAAGTGCAGGTAAACTGGTTTTCTATTAGTAAGATTAAAATGCATCCATGCTTCTATGTGCAAAAACTTGATAGAACCAAAATAGAAATGAATAGTAATTTTTAAAAAGTCCTCAAGCTTATCTATTTCTTCGTGAAAGCAGGAAATTCATTCTTTGTTTCATTGAAAATGCAGAGCAGAGGAGGTGCTGGAAACACTGTCAGACTCACGGGAGGCTGTGGGCGGGCGTCAGGGAGCCAGTTCTGATGGATTGTAACTGTTTGTAACTTGGGGTGGGGGGAGGTTGGATTTCCAGTTGGTGAGATCAGTGAATAAGTGGATCTGTGTTATTAGCATTTGTCACAAGTTTTGAAATTATAATAATTTATAGAATGTTTTAGAATTTATTCTGGGGTTTTGTAGACAGTCTAATGACTTTAGGGTTTTATGTAGAATTTTTGTTTGGACTACTTTTCTCTCCTCTGAAGCATACAGTTGGTTGGCCACTTAGACTTTAATATATATGTATTGGCAAAATGTCTTTGAAATGTAGAACTGACAACTGACTTTTTGTGTCGTAGTCCATCTCGGTCCTCCTGGTGGCTTGTAATATCCTTTGCCTGTTGGTTGATGAAACAGCAATGCCAAAGGGAACGAGGGTAAAGTAGAATGTTTAACATGTCTTTCTTTTGCAAGAATATCTGCATGTACACCCTGAGTGCTTCAGATAAGCCAGTTAAAGTCACCTTTCTGTATGCGTATACTTTACGTTGTGTGAATTTCTTTATGCAAGGGGCCTTCATAAATAGCATTTATAAACTACTATAGGCCCGATGCACGAAATTATTGCAAGGGGCTCAGCCCTCGCAGCCACGGTGGCTGCCTCGGCCCTTGCAGCCCTGGCTTTGTCTGGAAGGTCGTCTGGTCTAATTAGCATATTATGCTTTTACTAGAGGCCCAGTGCACGGATTTGTGCACCAGTGGGGTCCCTCGGCTTGGCCTGCAGGGATCAGGCCGAAACCAGCTCTCCGACATCCCCCGAGGGGTCCCGGATTGCGAGAGGGCGGTTCTTGGGTGACACACCCCAGAATCGGGCTCATCACCCGAGAACCGCAGCTGCTAAGTCACGGTAGCTTGGCAGCTCCTGTGTTGAGTGTCTGCCCCCTGGTGGTCAGTGCACGTCATAGCTACCAGTTGGCCAGTCGGACAGTCGCTTAGGCTTTTATATATATAGATTATAGATGGTTTTGTTTCTGGTATCTGGATTGGCCGGGCCTTTTATCAAAAATCAGATACACTTCATATCAGAGTTTATCTTTGTTTTACTGAAATTCATTACTTGTGATTTTTTTAAAAAAATGTACACTCTGAAATAGTGACATATGAAGAGTTTATTAAATGGGTTCATTGGGTTTGTGAGAGATGCAACTGTGTGGTTGATGGGAGTCCCACTTCAGGAGAGTCTACACTTTATGACACTGAGTCAAAATGTTCAGTTACTGGCGAGAGTAAGAGGTATATCTTTTTATGAGTTAACTTAGTTTTCTCTCTTGTTAAAAGATTGATGATTTTATTAAAATCTGTCAATTAGCTGATTTGAATATATTTTCATCAAGAAGGTAGTTCACTAAATATTCATAGTTGACATAGTTTTTTCTAGATGTCTCTAAACTTTTACATACTTAAAGTAACATTTAAGTTTTGACATTTATTATATTTTTCCAAGTCAGCCACTTTCCCATTCCCCATAGAAATGACTTAAAAACTTTTAGACTTTTGATGCCCTTCTCTCTCTAATACACCTGTTCTCTCATAGAGAAAAGCCATTGTCTATCTTAATTCCTTCTCTTCGGTCTATGATGAAGATACCCTGTTCTTCCCAAAGCTAATTCATTCAGCCCTAGTTCTTGATTTAGATCCCCCCTCACACCATTGTCCCTTGTGCCGTCTGTCCCTGCCACTCTCTCCACAGTGTGAGCTACCAGCAGGCTCCAGGTGCCTCATTCCACTAACAAGCAGCAGCAACAGACAGCCTCCTCTTCTACAGTCCTGTCTTCGTCTTTTGTTTACTCCCAATCCCATTGATAAGAGCAAGAAGTCACCTACTGTGTTGACTTCTAGCTACTTTTTAACCGATTCTTATATACTATATACTAAGTAAATCTTATGTCATAGTAGAGAGGGACTTATACCTGGTAGGCTCCTTGCATGATTGTGTAAATAAATCAGGTCACCTTAATCCTACCTGTGTAGGCCTCTGAAGACAGGGAATAGTTCCAAAATGTTTTTTATCACAGTTGTTGGGGAGGAAAATTTTTTTCTTCTACCCTTCTAGGTTCGTTTGTCTGGTCTAAGAATTAAATTGACAAAGAGACAGAAAAACAGGAGAAAATAAAATTTAATTACATAAGTACATAAGGAGACCCCATAGAATGAGATCTCAAGAAATTATCAAAGCAGGGAATATGTATACCATTCTTAGACAAAGAAACAGTTACTTATGAAGATCGCACAAAACAGAGAGTTTGTGTTTGGGTTAGGGACTTAATTGAAGAAGTAACAAAGCTTGTTTTTATAGCGACCTCGGCCCTGAACTCCCTCTCTCTGGCACAGGGAGCTTTGTTCCTTGTGTTAGGGGAACAGGAGGCCAGAGTGTGCTTCTTGTACTGGCAGGCTCTCCAGCAACTAATTTGAAATGATCAACATGCCGCCGTGGCCTATTTTGGGGCGGCCTGCCCGAGTCCCATTGCAGTCAGTATGCTTCTTATGCCTAAGTTAGAATGTATAGAGAATATTATTTCTTGTTTTTGTTTTCTTAGTGTGACTATACATTTTATTTTATCCTGGTATTTCTCTTAGATGTAATAGAAGCTGATTGTAAATAAGTCATTCGTATTCATATAGTTCCTTTAATTAATAAGCTATGGAAATATTGTTCCTACTTCATTAAGAAATAATTTTTCTCCTATTTGGTCTCATTGACAAAACTACTTTTCTGTTTGTTTTTTTGAGTCCTAGATAAAGATAGTTTTTGAGAATAGGTACAATGTTTAGGAAAAAATTTATAGCATTACATTTTTTAAAATCTGGGTTTATTAAGTTATATCTCTTAAAACTCCCAAGTTTCCAAGGAAGATTTGGGGAAAGGACATTTCTAAGGGTTAGAAACAGGGTATGCACATTCACCTTCTTTCTGTGCTTAGCTTACTTTTGACATTTTTTAATTGTATAATTTTTATATGTCGCCTCAGGGTTCGGATAATTATATATTTTATCCCTATTGTACTGTTATTGAAAGGTTAGCATGGAAGGTTAGCATGGTGGTCTGTCCGGGAAGGCTAAATAGCCACCTCTGAGGGTGATAAAAGAAAATTGAATTTATTTAAGAAAAGGGCTGCACAGCACTGAGCCAAGGGAACATTGGGGTGATGATGGCAGCTCCAGGAGCTGAGTGTCATCCTTATATATAGTCACTGGCAGGACACTTGTCATCAGTGGTTTTGGGGGCTGAGTCGGTGGGCTTGGAATGCGGGTGGAATGCATGTGTGTGATCAGGTGCCTTCAGGACAATTTCAATTCCTTGTATGGTCTGACTCCTGGTGTCTAGCATCTTTTTTCTGGTCTTTGTCTTCTGTTGGGGGAAATGGCCATTAAGGATTGTAAGAAACATTCAGACCTCTAAAGAGTTTTTGTGAGTTTATTTGAGCCAAACTGTTGACAATTGCTGGGAAGCAGAATCTCAACATATTTGGATAATGCTCCTGAGAATGGTGGTTTTTCACCTAGTTTTGCAGGTTACCTCAAGGAGGAGATGTAAGTGGGTTACCTGAAATCCACTGGTGATTAGGGAGGTGGGAGAAAGCAAAGCGGGGGAAACCTTTGGGATTGGGGAAAAAGTAAAATGATAGACACTTACCTACCATGATCAGGAAGCTGGTTTTCCCGGGCGAGGCTTATCCATTGCACTCCGGATGTGCTGACCCCTGCGATGTCCCAAAACACATAAAGTAAAATGATAGACACATGCTTCTTTTGCATAGGTGGGTACAGGATGGTTAACAGTCAGCAATTAACCTGATAACAATAAGAATGAGGGAATTTTTGGTCTCCATCCTGGTGCATTGGTTGTGCCCTAAGGGGTCCCCAAAAAGGGAAGTTACAAGTTACCCTGACATTCCACAGGTATGTTATTATAGATGCAAAAAGACAATAGGCTTGGTAAAGATGAAAGTTGATCTTTGTCAGGGAAGATACTGGCCTAGGACATGACTACCCACTATAAATTTTTTAATTTAAAAAAGTTTTAATTTCAGGCCATCCTTTCTGGTTACTTTAAGTCCCTGAGTTAGCAAGGCCTCCACGCAGGCCTTCCCTGAGCTAGTCAGGTTAGCATGTGGCCCCTTTTCGTCCACACCCTGTAGTCCTAACAGATATATTTTTAAAGGATTTCTTCCAAGCATATTGAAGAATTCACAAAATGCTCATATTATTTTGATAAGAAACTTAAATTTGAAATAAATCAGAAATATTTTGAGCCTGTTAAAATTGTTAACATGTGGTTGAGTTAGTTGATGAACTCTGCCTAATGTCAAGTTTTATTAGACCAAGTTCCTAATTTCAGCTGTCCTATATTTGTGAAACAACAATTTTAGGGAAACCAAATATAATAGTGTCATTGAATTCTGAAAAGTGTTTTTCCCCCCAGGGGCCTGGGATAGGAAATGCCTCGCTCTCAGCTTTTGGTTTTGTGGGAGCGGCACTTGAAATCATTTTGATTTTGTATCCTTTCTTTCACTGAAGCTCTGTCTGTTAACAAGTTTTCTGTCCAGTTTTCTGGGACAGTGGTAATTTACTAAGACACTTGCCCCGAGAAAAAACAAGGCATTCTTCCCCAGGCACTCCAAGTGGCTTTTGGTTTTGTTTTGAGTTTCCTTTGGGCCTTCAGACTTGGAGACTACTGAGAACTGAAGGCAGCTCACATTCTTTGGAGGTGTTTTCCTTGATTCTCACAGCTATCTGATGGTGTCCTCTGTCGTCGGTTTCTATAGCCTCCGCTTTTTTGGAGACTTTATTCCCAAAAAGGATGACACGACCATGACAAAGGTAAGGTAAAGTCTCGGGCGACGGTGCCTCCCCTTTGCCTTCCAAGCCAACCCGTGTGCTTTATTTAGTAATCGCCCTGCGCGCTTCCGCAGCAGCAGAGGCATTTGTAAATTGTGCAAACACAAACTGGAAGGTTTTCGTGTGGGAGCTGCCAGTGTGCCCTGTGTGGCTTGGACGACGTCCATTCACTTGTAAATGCGGAGGAGCCTAGCTTGTTAGCTGGCACAGAGGCTCTGAAAAGACGCTTTTCCTCCAAAGAAAATGCTCCGCTAATGAGTCACTTGGGCTGTGCTGACTGCACTTCAGGGAGCTCCTTTGAGATCTGAAGAACCTCTGTTGCTACAAGTAGTGGAGACAAAGTGTCTCAAATTTGAATAATTAAAGCAAGACGGAAGAGGCCTATTCAGAAACATTTTGCAATCTGAGGCTGATTTGACTTCCTACAATATGTCCTTGGCTACGGGAATAGCACAGGCTGTGGCACAATGGCTGCTGCTCTGTAAAATGTTCCCACCGGCTGAAATGAGGGGCAACTACAGGAGCTGCGGGCTTCTTTTATGTTATTAAATATTCCATATTGTTATCCTATTTTAAGAGGGAACTTATTTCCTATTCATCTATCGATGTACCTAACACACTGTGAGTTTTTGAAACTCTGAGCGTCTAGCTTAAGTGATCACAGGTCTGATCAGCATTTCCAGCTCTTATTTATTATGAAAGAACTAGAGGCCCGATGCACGAAATTCGTGCAAGAGTAGGCCTTCCTTCCCCTAGCTGCTGGTACCGGCTTCCCTCTGGCACCCGGGACCTGGGCTTCCCTCGCAGCCCTGGCTTCGTCTGGAAGGTTGTCTGGAAGGATGTCTGGTCTAATTAGCATATTATGCTTTTATTATTATAGATAAGCATAGGGTACATTGAAAATGAATGACTAGAGTGTATGTGTTTTGGATTTTGAGCTTTTTGATATTAAAATCTTATAACGTCAACATGTTAGAAGTAGATCTTATATAAATTGTGAGCAGTAGTTGTCTTTAAAAACAGAGTCAGATATTAAATGCATTAATTATTTAAATAAATATATTTTTCTTGATTTCAGAGAGGAAGGGAGAGGGAGAGAGAGAGAGAAACATCAATGGTGAGACAGAATCATTGATCCCTGGCCCCTGCACACCCCACACTGGGAATCGAGCCTGCAATCAGAGTATGTGCCCTGACCAGGAATCGAACCATGACCTCCTGGTTCATAGGTTGATGCTCAACCACTGAGCCTGGCTGGCCGGGCTAGGCATTAATTCTTTTTCACTTGACAAGCAAGCTGTTTTGAAATTGGCAACATCAATCAATGATGTAAAATGCATTGTCTGAGGTGTAAAGTAACTTAAGTGTTCTGTAGCTTTATATTTGTGCCAGGCACTACCAATATTTTCTAGAACATACAGATAGGACGTTAAATGTCTATAGGCAGTTTCTTCTTATTTTTAAATTCTATTGTGAAGAGTGTGATTAAGAAGTTAGCAAGGTGCAGTAGGCACCTGGAGTGAACAGCTTCCCAGAGGGGATGGGTTCCATTTATCATCCCGTTGCGTGACCGCCTGCTGCTCTTGTGTCTCCTGGCAGATCATTGGGAACTGCGTGTCGCTGCTGGTCCTGAGCTCCGCTCTGCCTGTGATGTCCAGAACCCTGGGTGAGTCCAAGTGGGATGTTCCACTCCACTCCACTCCTTCACTCCAGTTTCTAAAGATCATCCTTTGAGATACACCACTACCCTACTTCACGCCTTTACTCCTGTACTTCATGATTTAGGGCTACACCAGAAAGCGCTTTTATCAAACGAAGGCCACTTATTTTTTTAAATCCTAATAATATGTCTTCTCAAAACAGTGGACTTTTTTGTTCACTGACTAGTTAAGCTTTTGAGTCTCTAGTGAGGAAACTGATTTTTACTTTTAAAAATGTTTAATGTTTAGAAAATATTAAACTAATTTTTCTTAATATGAAATGTTTTAAAACATAATTGTATTTTAAAAAATTGAAAATCTGTCAGACTAATTTTAAGCTGCTCTGTGTCATGAAGTGGGCGTAAAGGCAGCGAGGTCTCGGAGAACCACGGGGACTTAAAGGGCAGCCTTTAGTTTAAGGATCTCACGTGCCTGTCATCCTGTTTACAGAATTTTGATTCTCTAAAAGGAAAGTGTCCCACATTGTTCTAGTGGCTGGGGAGCTTCCTGTGGCCCCTCCCCGCCTGTAAAGCCCTGTGGGCTCGGGATGCTCAGGGCTGGGCTAACTGTTACTCCGCGTGTTCAGTAGGAGCTCCGTTTTCCAGACTTAGGGTTTGACCTGAGAGTGTTCACCAACGATTAGGAAAAATCCCACCATTCAACCTCAGCAACTTGCTCACAACGAAAATGACAAGTCCGAGCTGCTTTTGTTTCAGCTGGTATATCGCATCATCATTTATTCAAGACCCACCCATCAGGGATGCGGGTGGTGCCAAAAAGCAGGCGTTATCCTCGTCTCTAATTCTCACAGGAATTTCATCTTTTAATAAAGAGTGAAATCTCCGATGAGTAGAGAGGGACCGCTCTCCACAAACCGACAGAGCTCGCTCACTCCTCACTCCTTTGTGTTTGCTTACAGGGCTTGTTATTGTTTTGACATCTGCTTATGGTGTGCTAATCTTGAAAATGCCAAAAATCTGCACTTTCGTTACTTGATTTGTAGCTAAATGTCATATGTATCATGACAGTCAACAAATAATTTCTGTGTTATTACAGCTACCCTACCATTTGGTCACTTATGAAACCTACTGTGCTCTGTTATTTAAAATTGTTCATAGCAGTACTAGTATATACTTGTTTACAGAAGAAAATTACATGCTGAGTATAGTTTTAATACAAAGAAAATGAATGGCAAAATTTGCTTTTTTAAAGATCAACACATTAAATTCCTGAGTAGTTTGCCATAGAGATAAATAAAAAGGAGAAAAGGAAAGATGGAACAATTAAAAGGCAGCTAACAAATGCCCGGACCCAGCTGTCCAAACAGGATTAATGGCGTGCATTAGGGCGCAGTGGTCACGTGCTCCGCCCGGCACAGCACGCACGCACTACCTGTTATGCCAGTGGCACTGAATAGATGAAAAGGAGTAAGTGCACTGAACAGAGTCACAGAGGCTTTTCACAGCGTTAAAAAAGCAAATTTCTAGACAAAAAGAATAAGCTTTATTTAGTATTATGGGAAATGCAAACTTGGGAGTTACTTTGTAATTCCTCGGTTAACTCTTTAGAAGTGAGTCTTTGATTTTAAGAAGATAAAATATAGGGAATTGTCATGACTATTATCCTACAGTATAACGGGACTTTGATTTACTGGCTGAAAAGCTTATCAGACCAGAATAGAGGGTGTGCTTAAGCACGGATTCCAGGCTGTGGCATCTCCTCTCTGTCTCATGCCTCCCACAGGGAGAGCCTGACCCCAGGAACTCAGCCCGCAGCAGCCCCCCACTCAGTTAAATGAGACTCGAAGCAACAAGGAGCCTCATCACCTCCATTACATGCAGCTCTTCTCTTAGTTTAATAGTTTTAAGTGATGATTATAAATTCAATTATAAATTGAAAATATATTGAAACCTGTATAAAAAATTAATTTGATGTTCTGGGAGGTTTTTTCTTTTAAATTTGCCAACTGCTACTGTTGCTGTGTGGTAGGCATAAACTGTAGCTTTAGACTTACATGTCTGGTGTGACATGGCACTTTTATTAAGAAATTCCTTTGGAATAGCTTCTTATATTTGAATATGGAAAACTGCACTAATTGAAAAATTATTGCTAATTATGCTAATTTAAAAATGACCACTAAGTAGATTTTATAAGCATATCACTTGCCACAAGGTCTGTGAAAAAAATTTTGACCTTTTATTTTCAGTCAAATATAATTAATATAGATGATCGTTTTGTCACTTATAGGAAACACAAGACATCTGTGCTTAACATTGTTTATTCGAACTCTTTAAACCCTTTGCGAGCGAGTAATGACACTCCTGGAGTTGGTGACCAGACTGGCTGGCTGCATGGTCAGACTTCAGTTTTGAAGAATGCAACATCTGGGGGATTTGGTGTTCAGATATTCAGTAAACAAAGGGCTCTCAAGGTGATTAGAGGAGATGGTTGACAGGTGAAATTAGAACATGATCAGGCCTAGTAAATGACCTATGGATGCCGGAGTTTTCTATAATAAAATATTTTAAAGGTAGCAGAGCATTTTGTAAGAACAGATTTTGTCTGGTTGCTGACATGTTCTTTTTTAAAAAAATATTTTTTTTATTGATTTCAGAGAGGAAGGGAAAGAGAGAGAGAGAAATATCAATGATGAGTGAGAATCCTTGATCCGCTGCCTCCTACTGGGGATCGAGCCCGCAACCCCGCCATGTGCCCTGAATGGGAATCTAACCATGACCTCCTAATTCATGGGTTGATGCTCAACCACTGAGCTGCACCAGCCGGGCTGACATGTTTTTTTATTATGCTCAATCAAGAAACAACAGAAGGATTGACATTTTTTGCATTCTTTATTTGAAATCTCCTTGAACCAGAAAATTTTTCTCAACTGTTACCAAAAGACCTTGTAGTACTTCTACTAATTTCTATTTTAAAATTATTTTCTTCATTCTGAGGTTCTTTCTGTGACTTGTTAGTGATGCAGGTTCCAAATGCAGATTTAAAAAATGTGCTTGTGGTATAAACACAAAAACTCGTACCCTTTTGAACCAGCCTGTTATTTGTGTCCTGTGCCCATATTTCTCATCGGGGTCTCATACAGGAGAGCAAGTGCATTATTCGCTTTTGTTCTTTGATGAAAGAATCCTGTTTCATTTCTGTCCTTTTTGGAGAGGTTTTCTTTTGGGGTTTTATAAATACACTCCTAATTTTTACACTGGGCCTTCTTTCCCTCTCCAGTTCTCAGTGTGAAATAGAAGTATAAATTATCATATATACCCCTAATTATGACTTTGATATAGAAATACTTTCAAACCTCATATTGAAAATTTCTCAACAAAAAAATGTGTATATGACTTAGTCATGGTCAGTTATTTTGTAGAAAATAATAAATGAGCGGTACTGATGAACTTTTAAAAAAAAATTTATTGATTTCAGAGAAGAAGGGAGAGGGAGAGAGAGATAGAAACATCAATGATGAGAGGGAATCAGTGATTGGTTGCCTCCTGCCTGCCCCCTCCTGGGGATCGAGCCCGCAACCCAGGCATGAATCTAACCTGGGACCAGAATCTAACCTGGGACCCCTCAGCCCGCAGGCCGACGCTCTATCCACTAAGCCATTCCAGCAAGGGTACTGATGAACTTCTGATAGATTACTAATGTCCTCATGTCTGAACAGTCAGTTTGTATATCTAGTTAGGATTTTTAATAAAGAGGCAGTATTCTGAGTCAAATGTCTGAGTTTGGAAAGTAACCATGGCTCACGCTACATGCCCTCATTCCCGGTACCTTGTCATGTTCTGACACTGTCCTAGTTTTAGGGCTCACAGTCGCGCCCAAGAAAACATCAGGGCCACACATTATCCAAATAACTTAGCCATCTGTTGACACACAACCAAATACCTTAACTTTTAGTTTGTTATAAAATAATTTTCATATGAAAATAATTCCAGTTAGGATCATTTTGCTGGAAGAAGCCTTAAGATACAGTTTTAGAATGTTAACAATTAAAACTAGACTGTGAACTATAGTGAGGGACTAATTTGTACCAAGAATCAAGAGTGCTAACCTGGCTGAGAATATACATAGTATTGGCTGCCTCTTGCATGTCCCTCTGGGAGATGGAGCCCACAACCCAGGCATATGCCCTGACCAGGAATTAAACCAGCAACCTCGTGGTGCATGGGGTCAAGGGTCAACCACTGAGCCACAGACTGGGCGTTATGATTATTTTTTAATTGACCATATTGCTATTTATTTTCTATTTGACCTGTCTCTTCTTTGTTCCCCTTTTTTACCCTTTATCTGCATTCTTACCTATTTAGTTGGCCTACTTGCTATAACTCCATTGTATTACTTGAATAGTTGTTTTATGGTTTATAGTATACATTTTATTATTATTATTTATATTTTTTTATTGATTTGAGAGAGGAAGGGAGAGGGAGAGAGAGAGAAACATCAATGATGAGAGAGAATCATTGATCGGCTGCCTCCTGCACACCCCCTACTGGGGATCGAGCCCATAACCCAGGCATGTGACCCTGACTGGAATCGAACCTGGGACCCTTCAGTCTGCAGGCCAACGCTCTATCCACTGAGCCAAACCAGCTAGGGCCATTTTATTATTACTATTATTTTTAATAATTCTTTATTGTTGAAATTTTTATATATGTCCCCTTTTTCCTCTCATTGACCCCCCCTCCAGCCCGCCCCGC